CGCGAGGCGAATCGAGTCAAGGCTAGCGAAGGGAGGCATCTCCGACAACCCGCAGTCAGTAAAGGGGGCATGTGATGGAGGGCTGCTGCTTTTAGGCCGTATGTTCGGCCATATCCCAAAACCAACGTCTGTCTGCCTCGCTCTCCAGACTGACGCAATGCCTCAGCGCTCAATAATCGTGTCGGTTGCTACGTCAGCGCCAATATAGATCGGGGGTGCTGTCTTCGCCGCTATCCCTCCATTCCGGCTACGCACATGATGTGAAGCAGCCCCCTAAAACGATGTGGCCAAGGCCGGCAACGTGTTTTGCGGGCATAGGCTACTATAACTGACTTTCTCTCCTTTTTTACACCCCCTCCCCCCAATGACCTTACTTAGCTACTTCGAGTTACTTATTTTACGGCAAGTGACATGATTTCTTCAAATTTGAATTAGAGATCTTAATGTTCACTGGTTTTGGAAAATCAGATGCTATATTTGCCTAGCAAGGCTATGGTGACAGTGGATCCGGTTGTTTGGGCTTGCTGGTACTCGTACGTATGGCAAAGTACGAGTATCTGCTGCAGACAAGGTTTTGCTTTGAAAGTTCCGTCTCCCATCCAGCTACAGATGAGCGTTCATCGTTTGCCAGCCATTATGAGCGAAGATGTGTTCCAGCTTGTCTATACAATGAGAGATCACATTACTTTGTTAACAAGGGAGATTTTCAAATGCAGCTACGGGTCCCCAAAGTTATCCTTTGAATTCTCCAGCAGTGCATATCAGTATCTATAGTTACTATTTTATTCTTCCAAGGATAATAGCATTAAGCTGTCCCTGTCTTCAGATATTTTATGAAATTTCAACCTTTTATTCATGATACTGCTGTATTACAAACACCTAGCTCCCGTATCAGCTACCATGGTATCGTAAGTATGTCCCGATAACTGTTTTTATCTTCTCCTCTCACCTCAGAGCAGTCGTTCTTTTATGATTGGCTGAAGGGGATCAGAATCCCGAGCTGCAGAGTCCTCGCTTGCCTTTTTCCTTTCTCTCTCTCTTTCCAATCCTTGGCGCAATTCCAGGCCGCTATACTCTCGTGGTATGTCGTACATCGCTGTCATATAACCGCAAAATTGCCCCTTTCTTACATATACACCCAGGCAGAAGTTCAGCCAAGGCAATTTTGTTAACTAATAGCTCAGCTGCATGGAACTTGCTAGGAGGCATTGGGTATGTTGTTGGTGGCAACCCCGTACGGATGCCTTAAAATTAGAGGCCCCTCGAGAGCCTCCTAGCAATTACTATCTAGGTCTCAAAGCTTCATTGCTATCGGCTATGCCGATCCGCCTCTCCGTACATACTGCCACATGGGATTTCTTTTGGTCATTTTCATATGCTGAAACGTCATTTGACGGCTAGGACAATTCTAGGGCCCTTCACGTCACTCAGGCCCTTTAACTATCTCCTGATATTCATGCTTTCTCGCTTCGCCTTTCCGCATCGGGCTACGTAGCCCCATGGTTCCACGTAGCCGATGAGGCAAGTATTACGATGACCACTATTCTATCCGGTAGTAATGGGGATAGCTGCTATCTACCGCAGCAGAGGCCCATCAGCATATGCCTCTCCTCCCTAGGTTTGCCCCCTACTCCACCCTATAGTGCTGGGCATTAGGAGTAGAGTGGTAACACACGGGCAAGCTCAATTACGTTCTTGACCCTTGATTAATGGCTATACTGTACTTTTTCGATGTCCAGCAAGGAAATTCATAAGGATGATGACGAGCAATGAGGCAAGAGAGCGGTGGCTAAAGGGGCGGAAGAAGAGGGGCCTACTAACTTGAGTATTATCAAAAATATCGTCATGAAACCTCTCCAGATGGACGTATCGACGAGTTATCAATATGACATGGCCAGAAACTTGTATATAGATACTCATTCGGACAGAAGTGGATTCAAATAAGGCGTCCAACTATCTCACGCCACTTCAGCGGGAGGCATATGCTATCTCTAGGGCCCAAGCAACTCTGTAGCACTCACTCAAACAGCCCAATCTACGGAATCACGCGTAGGTGCGGCAACAGTCCGTTAGACGGCTTGGGGGCTTAATTGTTTTGGGAGGATCCATTATCCGATGAAGCTGAACCCGTTGCAGGATCGGACAGTCTCAGATTTCCTTTTGACGGCTTTCCGAAGTTAAAGGGCCGATGGAGTGCGTATATAGCGCCAGCTGCATGCATGGATTTTACAAGTCCTAGTGGAACATGGAAATTCACAATTGGCATAATCTGGTAGATTAATTCTACAGGGAATAAACACAAATCGGGAGCAGTGCTGAGAAAAGCGGCCTATAATCTGCATCGGGTGGAAGAGAATGATAACATGCTGGCGGGCCGCGGAGCTATGAGAGAAGCCAAGACTCGCCGGTATCTAGAACGCAAACCCGCCTCCCTTGTCATCAAATCAACTTGTGATTACCACATAGCCAGATACTGGTTTTCTGCTCAATACGGAGGAAACATGCTCAGTTTTTGGGCCCAAACTCGGAAAAGAATTGGGTAGGGCGCAGGAAGCTGAGACGGAGAGCAACTCTGGCTATAATCCGTCAATAGCAGTTCCAAATGAATTCTTGGATGAACAAGGCCACTTATCCTCGAAAATCTACACACATTTGTAAGGGCTATCCCGGCTTCAGTCGACAGAAAAATCAACACATGGTTGTGTCGTGGAAAGTAACCGTCGAGTCAGTAAGGTCACTTACCTGTAGGCTGTACACCACCACAGCAAGTTGCAGGGGTATTATGGCACGGCCCCAAGATGACACAACCACTCACGACGGATTTCTGTTGGACTTCTAGACCTGTAGTGGCGCATGCAGGCAGCCGAAGCTTGCTTATGGAATACAGCAAACGGCCGGCTAAGCCCGCACAGGAGACGAGAATGATTGCGACGCTGGGCGGTGCTTTTTCCCACCCTTCAAAGGGCCGTCAGCATAAGACGAAGAGATGAGATGTTACTGTTAGTATGGAGGTGGCGGAATCAAAGGATTCAAGCCAATGACTGGACTCTGGATCAAAGCGGGCCTAGTGTCCGGCTTGTGGCTCCTCAGGCTTCGGCCAGCGGGGCTGTTCAAGCTGCAAACATGCCTTTGGGAGTCATCTGAATCCTGGGATGCCTGGAGTCGAGTCATCAAACCGTTGGTACCAAGTATATGAGCGGTTCGCAACTCGCGACTTGGTTCCTGCAAGCTTCCGGTAACACAGGCACGTTTATTTTGCTTCCCTGCACTGGCATGCCTAAGAAAAGGCAGCATCTCAAGCCATTCAAGCCAGCCCCGACGGCCTCTCCGGCGCCCGGGTCTTCGTCCAACGCAGCTGGTGAGTCTCATCTCATGTGGCCTCCCCCAGGTGGTTTGGTCGCCTTATTCCTTGCCGCCTCGCTCGCGGGTGTTGTTGGCGGGAAGCTGAACTGACCATCGATCGTTCCGAACAGGCAAGACTCCCAGGAGCGTCAACGAGCTGCTGGCCAGCTTGCGGCACGCCTCTCTAGACTCATCAGTTCCGCGGCAATTGCCCACAGTCACACCATCTGTGCCGCCAGCCCTCAGGGAGATACTGCAGATCCCAGACACTCCAACCCCCGCACCTAGACGGCAGCACAGGCAGAGGCTTGACAACAATGGCCGCCGCCTCCCAGCTGGCCCTCCTCCCCCACGAAGCTGGGTTGCTACCAGCGGCGGTGCTACGCATCTCCAAGGCCAGGCGTCCGGCTCATCGACCGTGAACCGGTGTGGCCTCGCTGATTCGACTTTGCCGGGCACGTATCTGCCAGCTCCGCGAAGTCTCATCGACATCATCCTCAGGAAAATTGCTGCTGACTGGGACCTTCACCGCGTGTTTAATCAGTACTATTTGTACTACATCCCTGCACATCTGAAAGCTGCCCTCATTCGATGGGTCGGCATTGCAAGCCCAGATGGTCTATCGGTTCAAGACCTCAAACTAATACTTCTCCCCTCTCCAGAATCTCTGGAGGAGGCAGAAGGCGATGACATCTCTGAATACCATACCTCTGTCAATGCTGAGGTAAACTACTTGGATTTATCGGGCTCCTTGGGCCGTTCCCTAACGCTCAAGGAAGTCTCCGAGCTTCTGTATCCGTCAAAGAAGCAGGAAGATTCCAGTGAGCCGCAGGAGTCTTGGGACGAGAGCGAGATCATTCCCAGTCCTCCGCGAGTACTATTACCCAACCTCACGCATCTGTCCCTCGCTCTCGACCCTCAGTTGGCCTCAGAAGCATCATGGAGGCAGCTACTGGCTCTATCATCAAAGCTTACTACCATCACTCATTTGAGTCTTGCCTACTGGCCCGACCCATCTCTTACCCCGCGAGCTCGCCTCTCCACAGTTACTACACCGCAGGGCCAGAATATAGCATACGGAGGGACGAATTACTATTCTCACTCTATAGATCATGACTGGAGCGAGGCTCTGCTGGTGCTGAGGATGCTCAGCAGAAACCTCTATGCACTCGAATTTCTCGATCTCACAGGATGCGCACCATGGTTCAAAGCTCTGATGTTGCATTCAGAACATGATTTCGTGGACTGGGTCGGATCGTGGGGGAAAGTGACGCTGCTTCGAATATACACAGGATGGACTCCTGGAGAAGATGCTCTTCCGTCAGAGGTGATTGCTTACCGTGAGGCTATAGACGTTGCGACTATGGTAGAGAGATATATCAGAGCTGCACGTGGGGGAAAGGGCAGGATCATTACGGTGGAGAGGAATAGGATAGATCCTTGAACATAAAAGTTGGAACATGGCATGCATTAGATATAGATCTGGCATATTCTTCACAATATGATTAATATTTCCATCTCTACCAGGTTGAGCTAGTAAGACTGCATTATACAGTTGATCAACGCCGTGAATCTCAAGTGCCGAACGGATGGACATTGGCTTTTCGAGAATATCGCTGTGGCGGTATTCTTTTCTTGAAAGATCCCGTCACATCCATTCAATTGAGTGCCCCACGGTTATTTGCCTCCCACAGAGCCTTGAACTTACCATGACCAGCAGACTGTAGTAGCTCTCGAGGCGGCCCGACCTCCACAACACGGCCTTTATCCATGACCACGACGCGGTCGAAATCTAGAATAGTTTCCAAATGATGGGCGATGGAGATGACAGTATGGCTTTTGAAGTGCGTGTTGATGGTCGTACGAACCATCTGCTCCGTTTCCTTGTCTAGACTTTATTTTTTGTTTTCTTGGTTAGCCTCAGTTTTGATACGATCGTTTGGGTTGTGTATGTATTACCTGCTACTAGCTTCGTCCAAGAGAACAACTTTACCGCAATCTTTCTTCAGCACAGCTCTCGCGAGGAAGAAGAGTTGCTTCTGTCCATGGCTCAGCATGTCCTCTTCAAAAGTCGCATCGAGGCCACCGCGAGACTCGATCACGGTCCATAGATCGACCGCACGCAGGGCGTCGACAATGGCGTTGTCGTTGTAGGAGGCTGACGGGTCAATGTTGTGACGTATGGTTCCGGGGAGAACGAACTGGTCCTGAGACACGGTAATGATGCGAGAACGGATAGTTTCGCGAGGGATGGTGCTGAGGAGGACGGAATCGATGCTGAGAGTGCCAGAAGATGGGTCGAGCAGGCGGAGGATGGCTAACAAGAGTGAGGATTTGCCGCTATGAAGATAGACACGTTAGATTCAGCTATAAAAGCAGAGCACCTCATGGAGGAGTTCCAAAGAGTAAAGGGTGAAACACACCTTCCTGTACGCCCAACAATGGCAGTCTTGTCCCCGGGCTTCAAGTCTAGCGTAACGCCATCAAGAGCCTTGATAACATCATTCTCGTCATACGATGCCTCAAGAGCTTGTATAACAACGTGTCCTTTGTCTGGCCAATTAGCAGGCACCTCTTGATCTTCTCCCGGAAGACTCTCGTTTGGGGTCTCTTCAGCAAATTGCTTGATGCGAGCAACAGCCCCGATGGAAGTCTCAATTGAGGTCCAGAACTGGATGAGCATATTCAGCGTTTCGCTCATGGTGATAAGTTGGACCAGCGACACGCCAGTGAGCCCAACAGAAACAGATCCACGAAGCTTGACGGAAAACCCGACAATGAGGAGAGCAAGCGCCGTGGTGGTTAGATCGAGGACAAGGACGAGCCATCGCTGGACCATTATGAGGAGATAGAAAGGCTTTTGAGATTGGTCCACGAGTTGGTGATTCTTCAAGATGGCCTGATTTTGCCATCCAAACGCTCGGATCGTGGATATTCCAGAGAGCGTTTCCATAAACTGCGTGTAAACTGGAGCCTTCTCTTCAAGGTCAAGGAGACGAAGCTGTCGCGACGTGCGAAGGTAGCCACGCTGGAGGAAGTAATATAGGGCGCCGAGAAAGGGGAAGCTGATGGCTACATAGTATGATGAAGCTGCGAGAAGACCTGCTCTAGCAAGAACCCCGAAGAAGCCTATTTATATACAGTGATTAGTAGTTTGAATGCTACAGAACATCATTAGGTGTTCTACTAACTTGCTATTGTTACCACGAGTGCGAGTGGGAGGTTGTTGTCTAGAATGCCAATGTCTTGAGAGAATCTATAATGCATATGTGAGCAATCGATGCTTATGAGAATGGCCCAATTTTGGTGTTTAATTACCTTGTAGTAATCGAGCCTAAATCGGTCGTTGTAAAGAGTGACAGTGGTGCACTTGGAATGGTAAGTGTGAGATCCTTGATTCACTGTGAAAGTATGGAATATACCTAACAACGGCTGAAAGGAGTCTATGATGAAGTGACACTCCCGATTTTGCCGCAATGACAACAAGGACGAACCTATTTCCGTCAGTCTTCAGAGGCCTCTCAAATCATAGTCCATAGATGCTTAACTCACCATATAAGCAAGGCAAACCAGAGGACGCCGATTACTTGCAAAGCAGAAAAGACTCCAAGATATAAGCCTGATCGGGTATGTCCTTGACTATTCGAGTCTGTCCAGAATTTAAGCCAAACAGCTAAACAAGTTATTAGATACAACTCAGATGAGAAAAAGCAAGGTGAAGCCTCTTTAATTTGAGTCCTTGGCTTACTTGGGAAGCTCTGGAGGAAAGCCCAGACGATCTCGAGAGAGAACAGGATGATGATGAAGATCGGCCCAATGCTACCAAAGTAATACTTGTAGACAGTTGAGTCTCCAAGCTGTCTGCGTTTATCGTCCTTTATTTCTACTTGTTTGGCCTTGTATGCCACCTTTGGTGCAGTAGCTTCGGCTCTGGATTCTGAAATGACCTCATCTTGATGAACTTCAGGATTGGGAGCGATGGCTCGCTTGGCGGTCAAACTCTGAACATATCCATCTGAAGCTAAGAGTTGTGAGAAGGACCCTTGTTCTACTATCTTACCCTCTCGACCTAGTGCAATGATGAGGTCTGCCAATGCGAGGAATTCGACTTGGCCAAGGCGTTAGCAAGTATTAGCAAGACATGTTTGGGACAAGGATAATGAGCCTACTAGTTTGAGTAGCCAATATAACAGTTGTTCCCCATCTTCTGAATAATCCTGTAGAAGAAAACAGGTTTCTAAAAATGCGCTGCGAGGTAGCGTTATCCAGTCCGCTGAATATGTCGTCAAACAAGGCAATACGGGGTCGAGAGTACACAGCCCTGGCCAGCGCCTGGAGGTGAATTTGAGACTTAGTCGTTTCAATGCTTGTATATAAGAATAAACGAGGGACTCACCACACGCTGCTTTTGGCCACCACTGAGGGCGAGTCCTTTGCTGCCAACATTGGTAAAATCTCCCTGGGGAAGTTGCCTAAAATCTTCTTCAAGTTCACACGCCGTGATAGTCTGGTCATACAGGTCCTGGTCGAAATGAGAGTAACCTGTTATGTTGTCCCTAATGGATTGATTCTAGGAACAGTCAGCCGTCTGTCCCTTCCCGATTGAAGATGTTCACCACTCACCAGGATCCAAGGAGTCTGTTCGCACCAGGAAAGACAGCTGCTCGCTAGGGAGACTTTCCCTTTGCAATAAAGTACGTCACCCAGGAGTCCTTTGAGCAACGTCGTCTTACCAGATGCCACGGGGCCAATTAGAAGTGCAACTTGGCCAAGGCTGAGAGAGAAGCTGACGTTATTTAACACCTGTCGATCTGACGTCCAAGCAAACGTAGCATCCTCAACCTCAACTGCAGTGGCTGTGAGGCTTGACGAAGACACGTGAGAAGTGCGAGGCCTAAGATTCTGGAGCTCAATCAAACCAGCTTCTTCCCCAGTGTGGACAGTGGTTGAATCAATACCATTAGCCGCTCCCACAGTTCGATACTCGTCCCGAGTTGAGCTGACCAGAAACTTTTGTATTCTGTCAAAGGCACCAAACGCAGCACTCATATCAAGCACAACTTCAAATATCCAAAACAGAGGTTGCGCAAGTAATGTAATCAGCGAAAGCGCTGCAAACATTCGCGTAACATCGAGCACTTCTCCCGTCGCAGCCGTAATGCCTTGGAACATGGCGAAAGCTAGAACCGGAGAGAGAAGTAGCGGCACTTGAGCCACCGAAGACGTCACTGCTCCTACAACTCGGAAGGGCTTGGATGCGGTGATTTCTTGGATGCGAAGAGTAGCAATGGTGTCAGAAAGGTGTTTGGAGAGACCAGACATTTTGATACTCTTGATGTGACCAATCATGGCAGAAGTTATTCCTGTATACGTGAGCTTTTTTGTACGAAATGTCACATAGGAATTGGATGAATTCAAGGTGTTAATCAGCGTCTCTGGGACTTACCAACTCGCTTTTGGGTCTTTTCAAGCCAACCAACTTGATACTTTTGCGCAAGTGGTGAGACAAACATGGTCGCTCCCAGCGAAAGAACAGAGACGATTATGGGCCCTGCTGCTGCATAACCAATCTGCTTGCTCAAAAGCCAGGTCGCAATTGCAATCTGAAAGACATTGGCCCAGAATTCGTGAACCTGTCTCATAGCACGGCCAATAACATCGACCTTTTACAGCAGTGAAACGTGAACATATCAGTTATCCCGCCAGAAGACAGTAAGTGGTAGACGACAAGCGGATTCGACTTACATCGGAAGACATGAGAGTCAAGGCGGCAGAATCATCAACCGCAACGATGCTCACCTCGGTGACCTTGGAAAATACAGCCGAGACAAGGACTCCTCGGAGCATCGTCACACAGCGGCCATTTTGATGCCAGTACAGCGCCTGCGTGGCTGCGATGCCCAGGTAAACGAGTCCATAAGCTCCAATGAGCCCGTAGCCAATGTTTACCGATTGCGTCTCATCGTTGAGAAAGCCGAGAAAGCGGGTCAAGACCAGAGGCTGGCATATGGTAAAGGCAAGGAGAAATAGCCGAGGGACAATAACCGAGATGATGGCAGAGCGAAGAGTGACGATGCAGCAGAAGATGAGGCGATGCTTGTTCGCCTGAGTCGAGGGAGACGCTGGGCAGAAACCGGTTTCTCCATGTTAGTAACGACGGACTCCGACAGGATGCAGCTCAGCGAGCTTCTACGGTTTTAATTTATTTGTTTTTAGGTTTGTATTGTATTTTTGTTTACGACTATCTAATGGGGTTTGAAGGGGAAAGAAAACACCAACCTTTTCGCCAATGCCACCAAAACCTCTCGTTCAGTCCCGACGAACTCATCTTCTCATCGAGCGGAAACAAGTCGGCCGGCCGAAGCAGGCGCTGGAAGCCGGTCCGGAGAAGCGGAGCAACCCATGCAAACACGGCCCGGCTATACAGACCAGATGTCTCTTCCGGGGCGAGAGTCTGTCGGCCAACAACGTGACCCGACTTTTCTCTTGCCTCAAGCACGAGCAGCGCCGTCTTGAGACCAAACGAAGCCGTGAGAACAGCCCGGATGGACGCACTGACAGCTACTGTGGAGAGGGAGAGCCACACGGTTCGTAAAACAGCAGCGTCGAACAGCAGAGATACGAGTAAGAAGACATTCAGCAGCGATGAGGGACCGAGGGATCTGCCATGTTCAAAATACGAGAGGGCACAGGACATGAGGCTGGAGGCAAAGGAGACACAGGCAGCAGCAACAGACACACTGTTCAGACGCGCGGGCCCATCATGGGTTGCCCAGAGGGCGATCAGGACGAGCTGAAGAGCTGCGAGACAACCTACAACAGACTGTGATTCAAAGGGGGGCAGACGCGTGTTTTGTTAATTCTCAAGCTCTCGGCTACCGATCAAGAAAGACCACCGAAAGGGCGGATACAGGTAGATAGATGACTTACCAATTTGATCACACGCGATACGTGATCAACAACTTTGATTGGCGATTTCCGCAGCTGAATGAGTCGCAGAGGCGCTGCGAGGACAAGCAGCGACGCGGGAAGAAGGACAAAGATGGATTGCTCAAAGACGAGAGTGAAATCGAACCCATCACGACACGCCGCGTCGACAACAGGGCCGAACGCTGCATCCGCAGTGGGAGCGCAGAGGGGAGTTGATATATTCATGGTATGCAGAACCAATTAGATATAAAGATGAGAAGGGGGAAGCCGTTGAAGTTGAAGGGGAAAGAGGGAAGAGAATGAATGAGGAGAACGGGATGAAATATGTATGAGGAGCGGTTAGGCCCTAAGGGGGGCCGAAGGATTCGCTGGCTAATATTGCATAATGCATCGGTCCAGCTCTACTCCGCATTGGGGTGTAGAAGCAGTCCTTTTGTTGAACCTGCCATTTCGGGCGATGGCTTCAATGTTTAGATGATATCTTCTGAGAAAGATGTATATGCAATAGCTGTGTATGCTGCATCGTGGGATAAGAAGCTTGTTCGAGCTGATGCAAGAGTGCGTGTAAGAGTAAGGTCAGTGCAGGCTACCTAATAGCTCGCCGTTTTCTCTGCAAATGGTCTGCAATATACGCACTTCTAAAAGACCGCCTCCAGGCAATGCGTTTAACTCTTCAAGAAATGTCTATATAGGTGCAGTCATCGTTCAACAAGGCCACGGCCAGCTTTCGTTATAAACCACCAAAAGCTTCAAGTCCTTGTAATGGGAAGCGGTGCATGCTACTGACAGCTAGGCAAGACATGACCTGCTAAGCTAACCGAGGCGTCAATGCGATTCAAAGCTCAGATGGATCATCATAAGAATGGCCACAACACACCACATCCGCCCCAGGGCAATGCGGAGACAATCTCTTCTTGAACAATTTGTTTAATTGATTTCTTCATGCTAACTGGCATTCTATCCCAAAAAGCCATGCGTCTCTAGCAACATGTATTACACTCGCAGCGTGCTCCCTTCTAATTCAACCCTCGAATCTTGTCGAAATCAGGTGTATTTGGACTTGAGCCCCTCGACAAACTCAACGTACTTCTTCTGTGCCTCCTCGGGGTCGGTGATGCCCTCCTCCTCTACAGCGGCCTTCCACGCGTTGTACTTGGCCTTGCCCTGCATCACAATCATACGTCAGCACCATGAACGCATACAAGAGGAGTGCAAAGATGAGAGAGACAATGGGGAGGGTTTCTCGTTACGCAACGTACCTTCATGTCGAACATTCCAGGCTTAGGGGCCGACTCCAAATCGAAGCCCTTGCCGATCTTGAAAAGAGCTATACAAAAAAAATCAACACATTGCACTTCTCAAAGGCCTATGTACTTTTCCAAGCTGCCTTCAGCTACCCAGCTCAAGTACGCCATGAGGTTTCCAAGGGGTCGTCGCGTACCGTAGAGGCGAAGGAGTTCATCGTTGGTAGGCTTCGTGGTGAAAGCCTCAGTGGCCTGCTGCGCCTGGAGAAATTCGGGGGACTCTGGGTGCGACATGATGGCTTGAGTTTTTCGGCTTGTTGGTTTTAAATCTTTGGTGGTGCAGTGATAGAGAGAGAAAGTGGTCTGATAAGGATGGAAAAGAAAGCTTCGTTGTAGGTAGGTAGCTTTGGTCCCGGACAGCGGGGTAAAGCCGAGAACTGAGGTAGCAGTTTATAAGGGGGGAAGGGGAAAGGAGGGGCAAATGACGAGCATGAACGCTTTGTTGGGGCTTTGCGATTGGCTTGTTGAGGGTCACGTACAGACCGGCAGAATCACATGTTGGAGGCATCTGCAGTAGGTATTCCTGCTAATATGAATATGGATACCCAGGAGCATTGTACAGTAGCTCACATGGACGCAGCGCTTTTGAGTTGAGCATGAAAAGCATTAATATTACAGAATCTCGTACTCGTAGAATCTACTAAAGTTTGAACAAAAAAGGTGCTTGTACGAGTACGCATGAAGGCGAGGCCAGGCCGGATCAAGCATGTCTGTCTACTGAGCTCGTCAGCAGTGTTGAAATTAAACTTCACCTTGATTACAACCTCATCTATACATGTACATTTATATACCGGTAAACCATTAATCAACCAATCTCGCTGTCTGGTTCACACGCAAAAACAACCACCCAAGATAAAATACCCCCAGATTCCGCCTTCGACCTCCGACTACCTCCTCAACCCCTCTTCTCATCCTCAATCTCTCTCTGCAGCTGCTCCAGGATTTGCTCTCGAGACCTCAAATGCGCTTCTAGACCGTCCACTTGCTCACGGACCGTCTCCAAGTCATCCGATATGCTCTTCAAGTTTCCACCAACGGCACTTTTGCCCTTGCCCTCTTCCAAATCTCTCAGCTCCCTTCGCTTGTAGTCAAGAAGTTGATCCAGCTCTCGCTTGACGAGCGCCGGCTTGGAATCACGTTTGCCGCCCCTCCGCCTCTCTGCGATTTCTTCGACTTTCTTCATCCTGTCCTCTAGGTCCTGCAGTTGGCGCTTGAGCCTCACTTCCTCCCAATCCTCCGTCTTCTCCGTCGAGAAGTCGGTGCCTGCCGTCTTGAAACCGCTGCGTCCGAGTCTTGTCAAGTATTGGTCGCCGAACTTGGCCTTGCGTCCAGTTGCTGTAGAGTCATCTGCCTTGGTAGCCCACCGTGATGACACTCCGCCCCTTTGGTTGTCGACTTGGTAATCGATTTGATTGCGCTCAAAGCTCGACCGCAGGGAGGCAGGTACTGTGCGGGGGATTCGGAAGCCTTCATGTCGGTTGTTTAGAATGTGAAGGAATGCAAGGCATGCATCCTTGTTGATGCTTGATGAGGCAGATGGGTTGATAAGGTTCCAGGCGGATCGAATGTCGGTATCGGGGACGTCTAACGACTCATAGAGGTCTTCGAGGGAAGTGACTGCAAAATCCGGTCAATCTCTGTCGCACCCGTCCAAGCCAAATAGAAACAGGGAAATGGGGGCGTCTTACATGATACCTCTCCTCGCATGTCTCGGCTCTCCTGATATATCTGCTCGTACTTGGCCTTGTCCTCCGGCTTCATATACCACTCAAATCCATCTTTCAGGCCAGGGGTATCGTCCTCGTCCTCGACTTGTTCAAATTGTGGCTGCTTCCCCGTGATGGCTTTAGTTGCTTGCACAAGATGGGCTTTCGACTCGGGAATCATCCAGTCAGGGAGCGTCTTTGGTACATCGGCAAACTCCTGGCGCACGCGAACAAGTTGGTCAGTTTCTAATCCAGCCCGCTGGGGACGCGTCACAGGCCACGCAGCAGAAGTAGCTTACCCCGTTGAGGATATCAAAGATGAGTCGCATAGCGACGCAAAACTCCTCAAAGTCTAGATTTCCATCGTTGTCCACGTCGGCCAGGTCCCAGACCTTTTCCAGCTGGTCATCGCGAAGGCCACTGTTCTTGAGGACGGGCGCAGCCTGTTCACCAGTAAGGAACTGTCCTCCTCCTGTCCTGTCCACGAAGATATTCCAGTATGTTTCAATTTCCTTCTGCTCGATCTTGGGAACTGGGCGAGCCATCGTTTCGGAGCTCGGATCCGAGGGTTGGAGATTCGGGGGGTTGGTTCAATCAACGAGTTCGACACGGAACTCCAATCGCTGGTCGCAGCCAAAAAAAAGCGAATGCGGAATAGCAGGATACCAAACACTACGCAAAGAAGTCGCGAATCGCGAAAACGGCCGCAACAGACGGTAGTGAGTGAACGGCGCAGGACAAAGGAGCAGTGCAGTGAGTGACGAAGCTTCGAGATGCCAAGTACGGAGAGCCCATCTGTAGGTACTTTCCCTTTGTACCTGGACGCTACCATGAACGGGGCGCATGTGCCTGAGCCCGGATTGGCGGAGTCTAGGGCCTCATTTGGCCACTATGCGAATGTGCATATTTGGTAACCGTAGATGTGCTCTGTGCTTGTAATTGAGATGAATGAGAACAAGCCATTTCTACAGATATAATTGGTGAAGATACGGGTATTGGCGGACTGGCTTCAATAATAGTCTTGTTATAAGAATACAACAAGAGAAGAAAAGCAAGAAAGAGCAGCCTACAACATAACATCCATTGCTCATACTGTAGCAACCAGAGCCTGCTGAGCCGTGCCTGTTGGAATTTAGAGCCTGACCGCAAAATCGGGCAGCCAATCGTATTCGCCCAGTTTAGCCCCACGAGGCAGCCCAGGGTCCATCCCAGATAGAGGAGGGGCTTTTCCTTTTCCGCATTGTTGGTTGGGGCATAATTTCATTTCATATTTAATCTTGATACCCATCGCCACTCAAGGCTGAAGCGTTCTTTTCCATTGCGAGGCTCTTTAGAAGTCAATTCGACTCTGCGCAACACCAAGTAGCCATGTCGACAGCCACCACCACAACAACGGCGCAGCCGATTACGGCTGAGACCATCCTTCGTCTCTTCCCCGACATCGACACCACCAGCGAGGCGCTCTCGGGCCACGATGAGGAGCAGATCCGTCTGATGGACGAAGTTTGCATCGTAACGGACGAGAACGATGCGCCAATTGGCACCGCAAGCAAGAAGATTTGTACGAGCCCCCTCTTCTCTCTTCTTCCTCTCCATCCCTTCCAGGGAGGAGTATGGCAAAACTCTCTCGACTAACACGAGCCCCTCTAGGCCACCTGATGACCAACATCGACAAGGGACTCTTGCACCGTGCCTTTTCCGTCTTCCTCTTCAACGACAAGAACGAGCTGCTCCTCCAGCAGCGCGCCACCGAAAAGATTACCTTCCCAGACATGTGGACCAACACCTGCTGCTCCCACCCTCTGAGCATCCCCACCGAGACAGGCGCCAACCTGGTCGACTCTATTGCCGGTGCCAAGCGCGCGGCTCAGCGCAAGCTGGATCACGAGCTTGGCATCAAGAAGGAGCAGGTCCCATTTGAGAACTTTCGCTTCTTGACCCGAATCCACTACAAGGCTCCCAGCGACGGCAAATGGGGCGAGCACGAGAGTACGGCACTGAGCTGTCCTATCTACAGGCCATACGATGGAACTTGAGCTAATGATCTTCTCTAACCTAGTTGACTACATCCTCTTCATCAAGGCCAACGTCGATCTCAACCCCAACGAGAACGAAGTTCAGGCCACCCAATATGTCACCGCCGATGGCCTCAAGAAGCTGTTCGAAGACCCCAGCCTCAAGTTCACTCCTTGGTTCAAGTTGATCTGCAACTCGATGCTCTTCGAGTGGTGGGAGAGCCTTGACTCTGGACTGGAGAAGTACACCGATGAGCAGGAGATTCGACGTATGCTGTAATGGATTTGATACGAATACGATGGTGGCGGAGGTTTATAATACGAAAGAGCGAGCGAATTCGACAAAACTTGCGTCTTGTTTCATCTCGAATAATGCGGCGATAGAAGATGGAATAGAATGCTGGGGTTACATGTGCTGCTGTAATGGTCCTTAGCTTCAAAATATCTAGAGAGTGCATGCAGGTGGAATCAGGTGCCAATGCGTGATAACCACGATGGCAAGGAGAACTGGTCAAGTTGATATCCAGCTGATCCTTTGCGGTTTCAAAATCTGCAAGATTATCAGCATCAATGCTACGTACAGTATATATACACCATATATAAGGCTTTTATACTACCTAATAGGTAGCCTTCTACGGAGTAGTGGAGTTGGAGTCTTATGTGCATGGTCCCTTATGCAGCATGAATCACTTTGACAAAAACCATTGCAGGAAAAGGATCAAAGAGATGGTTGTTTGTTCAAAAGAAGGCTGTGACACCTCAGTAAGCGGTATCGTACTCGTATACGAACTCGTATAAGAGTTCGCGTGCGATGCGGAAAGCACTGGGCCATTGCTACCCTGGAACAATCTGGGGGAAAGAAGGCTTCGAGAAACCTCGACTCCAAACCGGCTAGACAAATAAATTATGGACAAAAAGTAAGCTGCCGGTTTCGGTAACGGATATTTATACACGTATGCTGCTCTCTTGACCTGTATGTAACATTCCGTTGGAGGATGACATTTCCACCCCGATATACGGAGTACGGCGAGAGAGAACATGTTCTTGCAAGTAGGCACCTCACATGCAATTTGCCACCAACAAAAGCTGATAGCTTATAGTTTTGAACTCTTATACATTGCTTGCCCTTTATTGCAACGCGAGATGACCATCTGTCCTTCAATTCAGCTAGCATCATCCATCTCCGCATATCCATCCGGAGTATGAAGAATGCGGAGTGCATGTAAGTGAACCCATTCACATGCTGATCGCTACGGAACCGCACCCTTACCAAACTTCCCCAACTGGCCATTGCCCCAACGCTATTAATAACAGAAATGCTCTCCATTGCACGTAGCCGCTTGGCTATCATGTATGCACGATGTACGCTGGTCCTCGTGAGATGCGGTCAGGCCTTAGTTCCAGTTGTCTGTCAGTGCAACACACGATGAATTCGGAGCCTCAATCACTCCCCGCAAACTATCACTCCGCATCCCCCTCCAGAATCTCATCATTTTTCACATGACCCGTCTGTCCGCTCTGTGTAACCCCAAAAACACAGGTCAATTCGTAACTCTTGATAAGAAGCACCCAGTTTCACCGATCACCCTCTCTCCTCATGCCACGTTTTTGGAGGCGCCCAGCGTTGCAGCCAACCAGCTCGTATCACTCTCACCTTCCCCCACGCTTCCCGCAGTCCGCTTTACATAATGATGATTTTGGACGCTCAATTGATCAATGGAAGTCGTTTTTACATTATCTTCAATTACTATCAGCTAGATAGAGCAAAGCCTATAGCCACATCATGGCATCCATTATTAGTTTATCAGCACACATTCATCGCCCGCCGTTCGCGCCACTAACAATTATTGAGACGGGACGTTGGTCCAACTAACCACCATTCACAACATAGCGGATGAACCGGCGGCCCTGCGCGCGCTACAGGAGACCCAGCAGCTAGCCATTGGCGTTGGAGCCGCCTGAAAGCTCCCCAGGAAATGGCTTGATGGCCCACTAACCGACTCCACGCACGGCTGGAGGTATCGGAGCAGAAAGTGGAAGTCGAAGTTGTTGTCGGCCGACTCCGCACTCGGGCTATCAATGGGAGTGCGAGATAGCAGCCTGTTGCGGTTAGGCGTTAGGGAAGGGATCTAGATAACAGGAATACCGGCAAGGTTGGGGCTAGGATTCAAAGAAGAAGCCCGTACTGTACTGGTAAGCCGCCTGTACCTATCTGTAAGGACGTCTTCATGTCATTGACGTTGTCTATATCGTCATGTATATCGATATGTATGACACCTTGTGGCCAATCCTCAACATACATTAGCTCATTGCACCACGCAAGCCATCAACCATCAACAACCTCAAAAGCAGAAAAACGACAGAAGCTGAGGATGCTCTACGCAAGCATCCCACGATGCCCCCCCGTCCAGCCGAGGCGGCGCATCATCTGACCACGACCTCGGCCACCCGCCCAATCGCGGGTCCCCTCAATCAACCTCTTCCTCCTGTGCGGACACTCCGGCCGGCCAAGCGTGGGACCGTCCACACTATCTAGCTGCAGTGGTCTGTGTCTGTTATCTCTGTTAGGCAAACTCCCGTCTCTCTCGGTGGCGTTCGGCGTCCGCTTGTCAGATTCCCACCGGTGTTCATGCACGTTGTGTGTTGTTGTTGTACCTATTGATGCCCTGTACGCCGTGTTCCGTCCAAGCTTGTGTGTAATCCATAGCAGTAGGAGTAGCAAGACGAGGATTGATTACACTTAGATGCCAAAAGTCTGCGAATGCCTTACAGTATTTCTAATGTATACAGTATTAAACATATATTCTTTGTGCTAATGTATAATAAGTAAAATTATAATTACTGTAAACAGGTAGGTATAGGTACTGTGAGGCGTTCGTAGACTTTTGGCACCCAAGTGTTGCCGGGGTGCAGATCCGTGTCAGATCTCTCTCGGGTCCCCAGTTCCCTTGCCACTACATGAACCCAATCTTGCCCATCTTGAACTGACAACCCTTCTTCCTTTTTCTCCACCTCACCTTTGTCTGATCTGAACTGGTAAACCATCGATACCATTTCCCACGATAGTGCGTTCTCACATCGACTCTATTCATTGTCCTGTCTATCGCCGGATAGAAGGCAACAAGGAAAAGAAGCGAAAGGAAAACGAACGGGGAAAGGGAAAAGAGAAAGACTCATAACTGAGCCTAGGTCATTCATCCCGTGGGCTTGGGAAAGAGGCTATCCTTTTTTGTATCCCCCTCTTTGGGTGTTGTTAAACCAACCATTGCTTAACACAACTTTTATTTTTGACTCTTCTTGTCGTATTCTGACCATCATTGGTTACCACCGCCGCCCTCATCATCATCATCACCGCCTTCACAAACTCTCGTCTCGTTCTCCCATTGTGGGCTCCGTCTCTATCTTCACCCTCTGCATAGACGATATCCTTTCGGGTCGTCGTCAGTGAAGTGATTGATTGTTTGACTGGTGATTCATATCGATCCACCGCCGTCTCCCAACTTTAAATCGAAACAAAACAAAAACAACAAATCCATCCTTGCCAACCGTTTCGAATTCTTCTTTCTTCCTCCAAAGTTCCTATATACTCTAAATTTCCCAACTTAACGGTCCTGTGGCCTTAAACACCACATTGATGTCGGTTGACCTACGCGACTGCCTCAATTGCCTGCAGCACCCCTCCAGGTTTATGCCCGTTTCGAGATCCCAGCTCTCAAGAGTTCATACAGGCGATAGTGCTCAGAATATTATACGTGAGTGATCATATAGAGCCTACTAGAGTCAATCACTAAACTAGGCGCCTCTTTTGCGTTTCCCGCTTATACAGGCAGTATCGAGTGAAGAATTCAAACAAGAACCCGAATAAAAGACAAGATAAGCAAGAGTTCGAGAACAACAGTTAGCCCAGCATGGCGCATGTTATAAGTAAGACCGCGATCAATACCATTGCTACGACAGCTTCCTCTGCCGTCGTCGTGGACCGTCGTCGCTCTCTCGTCCCCCAGGCTTGGGAGAAGTCTGTCCGTAAGATCGGCCTGGCCGAGTGCGAGCAGGCGGGAGTCTCTCTCGCCCACGCATTCGCCGCCGATGCACTGAGCATGTATCTTCTCGACGGCGACGGCGAGGACCGCTACTCGGACGAGACCAAGTGGAAGCTTCACGTCCGCATCATGACCTATCTGGTCTCGGCCCATTGCTATAGCGGTGTTGTCACGACCATTGGTCCTGATTACGATGCTGTGGCCTTGTGGTAAGTTGATGTATCTCTCTGCCTTGAGATTTATGGCGTAACTGACTCTGTTCATCTCAGGATGCCTCCCGGGATGCATATGGACGACTGGTGGACCATCTTCCGAAGCGGCATGTGGCGCCTCTACTACCAACTTGGTTCCGAGGGCCGCAAGCGCTACTACGAAGACGTCCTGCCTCTTCTGCATGAGACCATGGACGAGGTCATGGGAGATCGCGAGTATTATTACCTTGCTTATATCGGCACCAAGCCGAGTGCCCGCGGCAAAGGCTATGCCAAGAAGCTCATCATGGACATGGCTGCCAAGGTATGTAGCTATCAAAGTGAAGCAAATTAGTGAGCAACCGAGCAGACAAAGCTAACAAGCAACCAGGCCGATGCTGAAAACCGCGCCATGTACCTCGAGTCGAGCTCCCGCGAAAACATCAGCTACTACGAGCGCTTCGGCTTCGAGTACCGCAAGGAAATCTCTTTCAAGAGAGGTCCTGTGCCCGTGCCGCTCTTCATAATGGTCCGAGAGCCGGTGGCAAAGCCTGCGGTCAAGGGAGCTGATGAGCCTGTGGCGACTCTGAGCGAGATCGAGACTGTTAAAGTGTAAGTTGTTGTTGTAACCTCCCAAGCAACCCTCTGAGACTGGAGTTGTGAGACGAGGCCAGATTGATATGGTTGACTTTTTTCTTCTTCTGTCTCTCCTTTCAATGCTCTTGACTTTATGAGAATTGTGCTGCAAGGAAATGACGGTTTCTTTGCTTCTTCAAATGCTTCTCACTTTGAGGTTTGGATGAATTTCATTCAAATGTTTGTATTTGTCGTACGCTCATTATAGTTTGCTACTGCATCTGCTTTTGTCAGCCGTGTGGGAGATTTTTTCTCACTGGTCAAGCCCTGTCTCTACCGTACATATTAAAATATATCGAAAAGTGCGCATGTTAACTGCCCTTAATATTCTAAAATGGCCCATGTCTCGTCGTCAACTGTTGTGTAGATAATACCCAATCCCAGAAGCTCATCCGCCGCTGTGAGCACCTCTCGCATCGCCAACCCCAGTGCCCCTGTAATGTTACTCAGATGCATTCCGTCGCTGCCTCCCGGTGTGTCATTCAAGTAGTTATACACTCTCTTTGCGTTGGCAGTGCATCCAGAGAGCTTGCTGGGAAGCTGGCCTCCACCGGCGCCAGCGTTATAGCCATCGCCGCCATCAACGAACATACTATCAGCGTTGTTTGGTCCTGCACCGGAGTCACCGGTGGCGCCACGAGTGTAGAACAAATGTACGTATGTCGCCTCGAGTAGGTGGTAGTTGACCTCGTTAAAGTCGGTTACTGGTCGAATGACGTGGGCTCCAACGTGTCGCTTGTTGGAAAATGACTTGAGACGACCCCAGACGCGGATGTGTGAATCAATCTCGAAGCCGGGCTCTGCGTCTCCTTGTTTGTCCGCGTCGATCCACTTCTTCACGTCAATTTGCCCTGTGCCGTCGTCGACCTTGATCGTCAGGTTCGTCTGTTGTGGATTTATGCTGCGGACCTGGCCGACGAATGTGATTTGAGTGATGGGAGCGCCGTCCACTTTGAAGTCTGCACCGGAGTACGGCTCCTCAGCTTCGAGGATCTGCTTGATGGTCAAGGGCCGTAATGATTCGTCTTGGTATGACTATTTCCCCCTCTCACATGTCAGCTTCACGCCCTAAATTGAGGGCTGACTTCGATTTGTCTGCCGTGAAGAATAATGGGAATTTCATTGAACTGACCTTGCCACCACCACCACCTTGGCTGCCTTGCTGTGAACCCCCTCCGGCAAAGAAGCCACCAGAGTCATCGCCGCCCTGGGCGCCGTAGCTAGTCTTTTGGTATCCACCGTATGCAGCTGCACAGGAAAGTTAGGTAATGAAATAATCAGATGCTTGAACGAGGGATGCCTTACACATTATGTTGAGAGTGACGTGGTGATGGTTGGGTTCACTCAAAAAATGGACGACGCGTTTGAACCGCGACGTGGGTTTAATGGATTTTGCCCCGCGACAAGCTAATGGGCAAAGAAAGTGGGCTGCTGTAGGCAGTAGAGTTGGCAGATGACTCAGCAAGAGAGGTCCGTGAAGCTAATAGCAGTGCTGCTGAGAGTGACAACCAGCTATCCACAGCTTATTAATGGCACCGTATCCCGTGCATCACATTCTTCCCTGATATTGAGTATGAAGAATAATATACAATTTATCAGTGAACAGTGATTGTGACACTGCATGTTGAAATTGTCATGGGATTACATATCGCAAGATGGAATGGATCCATTTCTTGGGGATTTCCCTCGGTAGCCATGGCATTGCATAGTACCTACATGTGGCCCAAACATTTGATGTAAACATTGAACACACACGTGCCGCAGCAAACACCACATTCAACAGATGAATTTGATAAAAAAAAAGCAAAATGCGCATTGCGTTGCTGCAATTTCTCTGCTCTTCCTTGCTTCATTTATTTTTTGCCACTTCAACCTTGATGCATCTTCAAATCGAACCTTCAATGTCACGAGATGCTGCGCGGCATCTCCCATCCTCTGTCAGCCAATAGGCGCCCTGCATCTTCAGCCTCGGCAACATTTCAGCCGGGGTTGCATAGACGGACTGACTCGAAAGCTACCACTAAAACCACGGCAGCATTATGGCATAAGCCGGGGTTTGGCATCAACATTCGACGCTTGGTGCTTCATGTTTCCACCGCGTTCTACGCATCTACGAAGCCTCTCACGACCATCAATTAATACCCGGGCCACTGTTTCGCTGCGTGCGGCCTCATCTCCTTCTTAGCAATCCTCTGTTTACTTTGCTTACTGCAGGCGCTTTTGCCTTTGATTGATTCGTTTCTTGCGCTCCTCATCACATCTTCGGCTTTCGACTCGACTTTCGCATCGCATCGCAATGGGAAGATCCCTGACCGCGACACTTCCGCTGATTCCTCTCCCTCGCGGAACTGTCCTGTTGCCCGGCCTTGCCTACCGCATCACCGTCAACTCCAGCCGGCCCGACATCCCGGCCCTCCTCGCCCACGTCTACGAACTTGCCGCATCAAAGGGCCCGGATGGCCGCATCGACACAATCCCGATAGCATGTGTCCCGGTGTCGTCCCCGCTGGTCGGCCCGGACGGCCAGCTGCTCATTACCAATGGCGAAGACATTGATAATACTCGCATCGATTCTGTCAATCCGGGCACTGCGAAAAAGGATGACTTGTTCGGCTTCGGAGTCGCGGCCAAGATTGTGGGCATTGACGGCCGCGGGTCGGGCGAGTTCGCTCTGCGTGTTGAGGGTTCGAGCAGAGTTAGAGTAGACGGCATCACTCGCGAGCGTCCCTTTTTTGAAGCCAAAGTCACATATTATGAAGACGAAAGTATGCCTCTTCCCTATTGTCAGAAAAAACCACCCCCCGTCTTGGCTCATTTTTCTAACCTTGATTTGTTTTGTTATTAGTCGACGTCACCGACAAGCAGCTGCAAGACTTATTCAGCCTGCTCAAGCTACGCTCAAGAGAGCTCGTCACAATTCTTCGCATATCGTCGTTACTCCCTCGCGCAAACGGCCCATCCCTCTCCCCCGCAGTCACAAAACGGTTGGAGATGCTCATCATTAGAAGAGAATTAAAGGAGGCTGGTATGTTGGCTGATTTTATGGCCAACCTCTTGGATGCCACCCATGAGGAAAAGCTTGGTATTCTGGCGGCTCTGGACGCCAAAGTTAGGCTCACAAAAGTCATTGAGCTTTTGGAGCGCCAAGTTGGCGGTATCAAGAACAACTTTAAGATTACTACGTTCACAACGGTCCCCGTTCAAATCATTGACCGTTTGAATGAGAACCCCTCCAAAAGACAGAATACAATGCCGCCGATGGCAGGCATGGGATTTCTGCCACCTCCAGGGGGGAATGACCAAAACGAAGACCAAGAGGCGTCTGAGCTTGACGAACTTAAGAAGAAGCTTCAGGCTTCAAAACTTCCGCAAGATGCTGCCAAGGCTGTGGATAGGGAGCTTCGACGGCTGCAGAGAATGCCCCCTATGAATCAAGAATACCAAGTAACAAGGAACTGGCTGGAGACGGTATCTGAAATCCCATGGACAGCAGCTACAGATGACCGGCTAGGGCCTGACACCCTAACCAAAGCTAGAAAACAACTTGATCTCGACCACTACGGCCTAGACAAGGTAAAGAAGAGGCTCATCGAGTATTTGGCTGTTTTGAGGCTTAAACAATCCATCAATGACGATATGGAGGAACAAATCCGAAAGGCAGAGGCCGATGCTGCTGCTGTTGAAAAAACCATTACCGATGGCAACGCTAGAGAAGCTAATTCAGAGGAGATTGCCAAAAGTGATGCGTCTGAGTCGGAGCTTGCCAAGCTCCAGGTGCTCAAGTCAAAGCGCACAGTCGACAAGTCGCCAATCATGTTGCTGATCGGACCTCCCGGCGTAGGAAAGACAAGCCTGGCCAAGTCGGTTGCGACTGCTCTGGGCCGCAAGTTCCACCGCATCTCCCTAGGCGGCGTTCGAGACGAAGCAGAAATCCGGGGGCACAGGAGAACGTACGTGGCGGCCATGCCAGGGCTCATCGTACAGGGCCTTAGGAAGGTCGGTGTGGCGAATCCTGTCTTCCTCCTTGACGAGATTGACAAGATTGGCTCGGCAAGCGTACACGGTGACCCCTCAGCTGCCATGCTCGAGGTTCTAGACCCAGAGCAAAACCACAACTTCCAGGATCACTACGTTGGCATGCCGGTTGACCTGTCCAAGATTCTCTTCATCGCTACCGCCAACAGCCTCGACACCATCCCTGGCCCTCTGTTGGACCGCATGGAGATGATCTATCTTCCTGGCTACACCACGCTTGAGAAGCGCCACATTGCCATTCAGCACCTGATTCCAAAGCAGCTCAGGGCTAACGGATTGGCTGACGACCAGGTTGAGTTCAGCCAGGAGGTGGTATCTAAAATTATTGAGTCGTACACCCGTGAGTCAGGGGTTCGCAATCTGGAACGAGAGATTGGCTCTGTATGTCGTGCCAAGGCAGTTGAATACGCTGAGGCGAGAGACAACAGCGCCCTCGAGACATACCGGCGGCAGCTCACCCTTGACGATATTGAGCACATTCTGGGTATTGAGAAGTATGAGGAAGAAATTGCCGAGAAGACGAGCCGTCCAGGTATCGTGACGGGACTCGTGGCCTACAGCACCGGCGGCAATGGCAGCATCCTCTTCATCGAGGTTGCCGACATGCCTGGTAATGGAAGGGTGCAGCTTACGGGCAAACTGGGCGATGTTCTCAAAGAAAGCGTCGAGGTTGCCCTCACATGGGTCAAGGCTCATGCCTTTGAGCTGGGCCTCACCCCGGAACCTCACGTCGACATTATGAAGGATCGCAGCATTCACGTTCACTGCCCCTCGGGAGCAATCCCCAAAGACGGACCTAGCAGCGGCATCGGCCAGGCCATTGCCCTCATCTCACTATTCTCTGGCAAGCCAGTGCCGCCTACAATGGCCATGACGGTACGTTTCATTGCGTCGGGCTTGATATTTCCATGTCATACCGTGCAAAAATTTTCCCTTTCCCCTCTTCCAAAACTCTCAACACTGAATGGTATAGCTGACGTGACATGTAACACAGGGTGAGATATCCCTCCGCGGCCGGGTCACCGCTGTCGGAGGTATCAAGGAAAAACTCATCGGTGCCCTCCGAGCGGGGGTTAAGACAGTGCTACTCCCAGCGCAAAACCGCAAAGACGTCAAGGATCTCCCCCAAGAAGTCAAGGATGGCTTGGAAATTTTGCATGTTGGGTAAGCTTTGCTTCCTCGGCTTCCCCCCTCCCCCTCCATTCCATCTCCCATCTCAATTGCTGGCTGCATAATGCAACAGCGTCTTACGGTTACGCACCTTGCCCTCACCGTCAAACAATAGAGAAGGAAAAGGCAGTGTTACTAACTCGAGTACTGAATAGCCACATTTGGGATGCGATCCGACTGGTCTGGCCCGATTCTCACTGGGCTGAGGACCATCAATTTGCCGGCATTGAAAGCCGTCTGTAAGGGCTTTTGCTTTCCGGTTGGCATTCCGGGATTTCGACCCCCCACTGTGTCTTGCATCGTCAAGTCCGCTTGTTCAATTGTAACCCTAATCCAGCATGATGTATATAATGTAAGGGAGTTGGAGCTTGGTAATAGTTTGAATTGTATCGGATCTGAGACAATTTGCCCTTAGATCGATTGCATCACACCGATGCCCAATGCTACTAGTAGTGCTAGGACCACTTGATATACCTTGCTAAGCTCACTCAAGACAATGTCATTTATTTTTACATAATGTATCCTGGAGTGTTCAGCCGGTGTTAACTGCGTCATAGGCGTGTCTTTTGAACTCTTTATATCTAAACGCTCTACGGTATGTGTTTCCTCACTTATGATGCGAGGCGAGCTCTCCATGTGATTCCATCACGGCATCACGGCGCTAGAAGAAGCGAGCTGATACTATTAATGTATTGCCATAGCCAGTATGTTCCTTGTAGCTCATGTTGTAATCTTCTTTTGAACAATTTGCACGAGGGGGGTGTGAGCCGAGGTATCTACGTAGCTGCAATGCGTGCATGTGTACGAGTAATTCTTGGATTCAAGGAGACCATGTGCTGCAGCACTAAAAACACATGGACATGGTGGCGTGAGGGTAAGACACCGGCACATTCACACCTCTAGCGATTCAAACTGAGACATAAGGGATAAAAGGAGGGAAGAAAGAAAGAAAAGAAAAGAAAAGAAAGAAAAAGAAAAGAGAGTGCAGCAACTCAGCTGAACAATACGTAGGAAAAGAGGCAAGCATCGTGGCCCACACATCTTCACTCTGCTAGAATCAACCAGGTCGCAATCCTGGCCTCTATCAGCTGCCCAAGGTTGCGC